GCTCCAGGCCTGGATCTCCCTTCTCCTGTGCTCACCAGGCCCAGGGAAGAACCTGAGGGGAGCCAGGGGCTGAGCTTGGCCAGGTGCTTCTCGGGCCAGTTCCAGAGGCCAAGGGGCCTTGCCTGTGTTAGTCAGCTTTCCATAACTGTGACAGACACCTGAGATGATCCACCTAGAGGCAGGAAAGCCCTATTTAGCCTCACAGTTTCTATGTCACCTGGCCTTGTGGCTTTGGCCCTGTGGTGAAGCAGAGTGACACAGCAGGGAGTCTGTGGTGGAGCAGGCAGCTGCCTCGTGGCAGCTGGAGGCAGCGCTGACCAGGAAGGGGTCAGATCCCAACAGCCTCCTCGAGGGCGTGTCCCCAGTGACCTCACTTCCCTCCCTGAGGCTCCACCGTCAGCTAGAGTCTGAGCCTTCTGCACCTGGACTTGGGGAACACTTAAGATCCAAACCACGACATTCCACCCCTGGTCCCCACAGGCCACGTCCATTTCCAAGGGTCCTCATAGTCTCACCAGTTCCATCATTGCTCAAAAGCCCAAGTCCAAAGTCTTCTCTTAGACACAAGGCAAACAGCTCTGAGCCCTGAAAATTTTTAAAAAACCAAAAACTTACATAATGGTGCAGGGCAATCATTCCCATTCCAAAAGAGAAATCAGGGACATAGAAAGGAAGGTTCAGGCTGCAGCAAGACCGACACCCAGCAGGGCACAGATCCAACCCTGAGGACTTGGCTGGGGCAGCCCTGCCTGGTGGCCTTGCGAGCTGTGGTCCCCGTGGCCACTCCTGGCTGGCTCTGCTCCCTGTCTGAGCTTTCCACGGCGATGTTCCATGCTCCTGGAATCTCTTCATCCCAGGTCTCAGCTGAAGCTGCAGCTTTACTCCCGTGGTGCCACACATGGCCCTCCAGGCCTGCCGCCTGCTGCCTCCCAGACCTGCCTGTGGAATCTGAGGGAAGCCTCTGTCGCTCCAGGACTCTTGCGTTCTGTGAGCCTGCAGAACCAGACCCCTCGGCGATGCCAAGACCTCCCGGGGCTTGAGCAGGGGCAGAGACCCTTAGACCCTGGCTGCAGTGGCTTCTGAGTACCTGGGCAGCTGAACTCGGAGGCAGTGTCCTGGGGAGACAGTTCCCAGGCAGACCTGTATGAGCTGGTACTGAGGCACTCCGCTCAGATGAAAGTCTGAGCCTGTGAGGGGTGGGGTCTTGCTGAGATGCCCTCAAAGCATCTCTCTCTTATTATCCACGTGCCAGGTTACAGCACCTTTTAGTGTCACTGATTTCTTAAGTAATCACTCCTTCCTTGGCCCCAGTTGTGCACATATCTTTCTGCCCAAATTTCAAGTTTTTCAGAGCTTTCGGTTCTGCTCTTTCTTTCTATTTCTCACTGTGAATCTGGTTAAAAGCAGCCAGCAATGCCCATGCCATAGCCTGAATGCTCTGCTGCCTTGAAATTTCCATTGCCAGATTAATTAGTTCCCCACCTCTTGTACTCGGCCTTGCAGAAAGCCTCAGGACTTGAGCAAAATGTAGGCGATTCTTTGTCAGAATACAAATTGAAGGGCTCAGCCCTCATCCCCCCTCGAAACCTCAGGAGCAGTCTTTGCTGTCCACGTTCCTATTGGCGTCCTGGTCTTCTAAACTCCACCAGAATCTCCCATTAAACAAACTCTACTTCTCCAGCCTACATCTCCAAACTTTCCAAACTCCTCCTGCAAATCAGTTCCAAGGCTCCTGAACCACGTGGTGAGGTGCCATCACACTTCACCTCTCAGTGCCAACTTCAGTGCTACTAACCTTTTCATTGTTGTGACCAAAATACCACGACAACAACTTGGAGGAGGAAAGTTGATTTTACTTGGAAGAAAGACCCCTTAAAGGATGCCAGGAATAGGTCCTGAGCCTGTTGGGATTTCCTCTCAAACCTTTTTTGGCTCTGGTGTGATTTTGAACTTAGAGAAGGGTGCACAAGGACACAACGAGGGGTCCCAGGCACCCTTGATCTGGCTTCACTTTACCCTGTGTGCTTGGTCATCCTTGGTGTCCTCGCTCCTCTCTGTGTGACGGCTGCATCTTTCCTGAACTGCACGAGTACTTCAGTGTATGCTTCCTAAAAACAATTCTCTTCAGAACCACATGGCAGTTGCCCACACCAGAAATCTCACTCTGGCCAGGCCAGCACATCCCCATCGGATTCGCAGTGGCCACCCTGCTCCTTCCCCGCTGTCGCCTGCTCTCAGACCTTCCCTGCCCTGCTCGGTGACTCGGGCCTGATGTTTTACATGCCTAGAGGCAGCTTGTTTTCTAGTGGTCCATTAGCTTGGCTTTCTGGCCCCTGTGAGTGCCCAGCCCAAAATGATGGTCAGGTTGCTGTCCATGGGGATCAGAGCCATGAGCACACTCAGGCAGAGGTGGGGTTTACACACACGGGGGCGGGGGCACAGGGGTGTTCCCATCTCCTAGTGAGGCCCCAGCTATTCACCCAGGAATATGGAGCCAGAACTCCCTAAGCCCAGAGGGGCTATCACCTTGGATAGCCACCTGAGTCCTGCCAAGCTCTGGTCTGCCCACCTCTCCAGGCACCATCTGGGTGCAGCTTGGCCTGTGCTTCTGGGGTCACCTGACCCCTCTGGCTCCAGGACCTCTGTTCCCACTGTCTTCTGCCTGGGAAGCCATCTGTCCCCCCGCCTTCTGCGCTCCACCTCATTGACCCTTTCCCTGCTAGTTAACTTGGCCTGCTCCAGAGCTCACCCAGAGGACGGCTCAGTCTCCCCTGACCTGTTAGGCCCTGGCCCTGACTTGCTGTTTGCTTTCATCCTTCCCCCTGGCTGCAAGTAGCATGTCCCTGGGACCCAGGACAGTTGCTGGCACTTAGTAATGTTGGTGGAGAGAGAGGCAAAGGCGGTGGCCCTGAGAAGCCTCATGAGGAAGAAGCCCCTGAGTGGAGCAGTCCCCTGTGGTCAGGTGGGCACCAGGGTACCAGAGGGCGAGAACAGCTTGCCAGGCCCCGAGGCAGGGCTTCATGTGCCAGCAAGGTGGACAGGAAGGGCTTCACGACACGTGTGGCCAGCCCTGCAGTCCCAGGAGAGAAAGCAGGTGGGTGGGGGATTCCAGCTGAGGCTTCTGAGGCTGCAGGCAGAGTGTGCCTGGCGAGGCTCACCCTGGTGGCCAAGTTGCAGTGGCCTCCCCAGCTCTGCCTCTTCTGTCCCACAGCCCCATCCTGTGGCAGAGCTGCAGGCAGGCCCTGGGCCCACCCAGGTTTGCATCAGCCCTGGCCCCTGGGGGCCCATCCAGCCCAGTGTCCCTTTTCAAGCCATTGATGGCGTCTGAGTGCCTGTGGCTCTGGAGCTTCCTCAGAGCTCCTCTAGGAGCCCTCCTGAGCCCACACTGTGTCCTCAGATGTTCCAGGTCATCCAGCCGGAGCGTGCGCTGTACATCCAGGCCAGCAACTGCGTGGAGGCCAAGGACTGGATCGACATCCTCACCAAGGTCAGCCAGTGCAACCAGGCTCGCCTCACCGTCTTCCACCCGTCTGCCTACCTGAACGGCCACTGGCTGTGCTGCAGGGCCTCCTCCGACACTGCTGCCGGCTGCACCCCCTGCACTGGGTAGGTCTGGGCCCCCGCAGCACCCGGCACCCACCACCCCCACTCAGCCAAGCACAGTCAGCTGGCTGGTGTGCTGTCCAGGGGGCCAGTTCAGCCAGGGGGCCCAGCCAGGCAGATCGCAGTCCCCACTGATGGAGCACCTGGGCGTGGGCCTCTGGGAGGCCGTGTACCTGCAGGGAGCTCCAGGCCAGGGAGGTTCCTCCCAAGCCCCTGCTGGGGCAGAGCTGACCTTGGGGAAGTGGTAGGCAGGGAAAGGAGGGCTTGGAAGTGCTCCATCTCCTGCTCAGAGCCCCACCCAGACTCTCCACCAGCACCTCTGCGTGGAAACTGAGGCCAGTCATGGCAGCTGAGCCTCCTGTGGCTATCAGAGAAGGGAAGGTGGCCAGGGTGCCCAGCCTCCCTTGGCAGTGCCCCTGATTAGCTCTCTGGGCCTTGTCATATGGGGAGTATGACAGCCTCATGTGACAAGCCCCCGAAGTGTGCTTGTCACACAACCTTCACGTCTGGCCATTTGCTCCCCCAAGCCTTGGAGGGTGATAGATACAGAAGCCAGGGCCACACCTGTCAGTCCCCAAGACCTCTCTCCTGTCCTCACCCAGGACAGGACAGGAACCCACAGCCTCCCGGGAGGAAAGGAAAGCTGACCTGTCCTCTGGGCAGGTGAAGCTCTGGGGAGGTAGCCCAAGCCTTACACGAGGTCATTTCTGCCCTGTCCATGGTCAGTCTGGATCCATGGGTCCCAAGAGGCCCCAGCGGTGGAGGCTGGACTGTTCTCTCTCACATTCTATACATGTCCTAAGCCAGCCGGGGGCCACCCTGTCACCAAGGTCAGGATAAGGTTTTAAATATGTTCTCTCCAATTTCTTTCTTACTTGATTTTCTTAAAAGTAATATGAGTAAAAGCATTGTCTAAGTCATGTTTTTTCTTTTTATTCTTTCCCTATCTGGGCAGTGGCCTCCCAGCAAACATCCAGCTGGACATTGACGGGGACCGCGAGACGGAGCGCATCTACTCCTTGTTCAACCTGTACATGGGCAAGCTGGAGAAGATGCAAGGTGACCACAGCCCCTGCCCGTGTCGGGCCAGGCAGCTGTCCCAGGCACAGGGCCATCTGCAGGGCAGCCTGGTAGAGCTCTGGTGTCCGTGGGGCGTCCGTGGGCAGGCTACAGCCCTGGTGATAGGAAGCTGTTTGCTGGCTAGCCAGCACTCTAGAGAGAGATGTGTTTGTAACATTTAATAGCTTAACAGAACTGGAAGCTCAACAGTCTGGGCAGGACAGATTAGGTGGCGTGGGACCTGGTCTGTTCCTCAGTGGCAGGCAGATCCAAGGAGGGAGGCAGGGGTATCTTCTCCATGAGGGGTCTGGGAGAACTCAGATACGCTCATGTAGATCACAAAACAGCTCTCAGCCCACAGAACAAAACATAGGAGAAAGTCTGGAATCCAGCCCGTTAGTCTTGCTTCCTCCCTGCTTTCCTGACCCAGCCCAGAAGGCCAACTGCACCTTGGCTGGCCATGCACAGGGTCCTGGGCATCATGTCCCGCCCGTGTGTGAGAACAGGCTCCAGGCTCACACAGGCTCACATGCCTGTGCACACCCAGACGGTAGCATGGTGCCCAGCAAGCACGGCATGCGCAGGGCCTGGTCCTGCCTGCACCACAATGCTGCACACTGTGCATGGCCTCTACCCTCTACCTGGAGTGCCCTCCTACTTCAGTCCAGCCAGTGCCTGCCCTTCCTGTGAGTCTGTTCCTCCTGGGAGCCTTCTCCAGCCCCCAGCCCCATAGCCTGGGTTCACCCCATCACTCAACTGCAGCCCTCTCTGGTCT